TGTATGAAAGGTGCCAATCTCAATTGTAGAACTATATGGACTGTGAGGTATTTGTGGAGGTTTTGCAGAGATGACTGATTTGTTATGGGAAAGTCCCATTTTAATCACTGATCTTGTATAAGGTTTTAAGTCTCCATAAATAGTATGATTAGTCAGTCTAGGTCTCCCACCCACTATCTTTTCCTCATATGATACTCTCAGACAGCCAGCATGTTTATCGTGGGACCAACACAAAGGTAATTGGGCACTGTAGCCAGAATTATTAAATCAGGTCACATGATTGGGAGTAATACGAGTATCTGTAAATCCTCCCATCATGAATGAGTCATTATTAAACAATGGAATAGATTCTCCAGTCCACACAGCTGGATATACCAGGGTGGATCTGGGACATACATCCAGTAAGTGTCTGCTCCACTCCCTTTTACCTGACAGCCCAGCAGGGCAATCACTGTAGTTACCATCATCAATGGAGGCTTATTCCTTCCTAGGATTCAAATTATTTGCGAAGCATGTGTTGTCAGCTCCTTCACCCCTTCCCATGAGATCAGCTTTTCAGCTGGGTCATGTTGGTTCCTCTTTATTCTTCTTTGATATCTCTTCCTTTTGAGTGGAGGCTTCTCCAGGTTGATAATCAGTCGCTTGAATCTCAGTTCTATCTCTTCCATGTGTGATTGCATGTTCAGGCAACCAGATAGGATGAAAAGCACCTTCTGGAAAAATACAAGCATGACCTCTGCCCCACATAATCACTGTATCTGGGCCTTTCCATTGACCAGTCTTTAAGAGTTTCCACAAAACTCTGCCTAAAGTGCCTGTTGTTGTGGAAGACATATGTCTCTCAGCTGCAGTCTGAACTTCTGTGTCACAATTTAAAAAATTTAAAACACACAAGGCATGGATGAGGCTATTTTGGGGAGTCATAAACCTATTCCCCCCTTTGAATTTTTATAATTGCATCTTAATAGATAAATGAGCTTGTTCCACAATGGCTTGACCTTGGGAGTTACTCGGAATTCCTGTTTTATGGTCAATTTGAAACTCTTGGCAACATTGTTGAAAAGAAGAGCTTACATAAGCTGGTGCATTATCTGTTTTAATCTGTATAGAGCATCCTAACAGAGCAAAACTGCTGGGCAATGAGAAGTCACATGTTGAGTGTTTTCTTTTGTATGTGCTGTGGCTAAAATAAATCTCCTTGTAATATCTGAATTTGTATCAACTATCACATGTACATAACATTGTTCACCAAATTGAGGAATATGAGTTACATCCATTTGCCATATTTGATTGGTTTAAATCCACAGGGATTTACCCCTGAAGGCAGAGATGGAGTGTGAATAACACACTTAGGGCAGTGACTTACAATTTGACGAGTTTGTTGTCTGATAATATTGAATTTTTTACATAAGCTAGGAGCATTCTTATGATGCAAGGAATGTGAAGCTTGTGCACAGTCATTTGGAGACAAACAGCTACTAATTTATCATTCTTGTCATTACCTGAAGTTAAAGGTCCTGGAAGATTAGTGTGAGCTCATATGTGTCCTATGAAACATGGGTATATTTGCATTTGCACCGCCTTTTGTAGATTATGAAATAGTTTAAATAGCTCTTGTGATGAGGTATACCCAATAACTGAAGCTTCAATATTTTTGGTAACTCCAACTGCATATATGCTGTCAGAATAAATATTAATAGGCTCATTAATAGCTCTCATTTAAGGCACAAATGAGAGCTTGTAGCTCTGCTCTTTGGGCAGAAGTATATGAGGTTTGTATTACCTCTGTGTGAACATGGCTATAAAAACCTGCTTTACCTGAGCTTGAAACATCAGTGAACACTGATAGAGCTCCATCTATGGGCTGGGCATGTACAATCTTTGGAAAAATAAGCGGTGTTATTGATGCAAATTGAAAAATTTTATCACAAGGGTAATGACTTTCTATCTGACCAGGAAAATCAGCAAAAGCTATTTGCCATAAACTAGAAGCTTGAACAAGCCAATAATTTTGATGAACAGAAAAGGGAATAATTATAATATCAAGTTAAGATCCAATTAATTGTAAAACTCTTGTTCTACCTTTAATTACTAATTGTGCAATAGAGTCATGAAAAGGAATGAATGTCTTTTGGGGAGAGTGGGCTAAATGAATCCAATCAATAACTCCCAATCTTTGCCATATGGCTCCCGTTGGGCTATGCACAGTTGGAAATATTAATAAATATACTTGTTCTTTAGGATTAATTCTAGTAAGCTGTGCATTTTAATTGCATTTTCAACCTTTTTTTAAAGCTGTGCTAGCCTCTATTGTCAGCTGACATGGAGAGGTTGGAGAAGGATCTCCTTGTAATATCTGAAATAAAGGACTTAAATCAGAAGTAGTCAGTTTTAAGGATGGCCTCAGCCAATTAATATCTCCTAATAATTTTTGAAAGTCATTAAGGGTATGTAATTCCTCAACGTTTATCTGTAGATTTTGAGGATAGATTGTAAGTCCTTGAATTATCTGATCTAAATGTTGAAAGGGAGGCATCTTTTGTATCTTTTGAGGAGCAATGCACAAACCAATTGCTGTAAGTGAAGCCTCTAACTGAGTAAAAATTTCTGAAAGTATTTCTGCATTAGCATGAGCCAATAGTATAGCATCCATACAATGAATAATATATGTATCAAGAAAGTTATCTCTTATAGGAGCTATCGCTTGAACCACAAATTTTTGACATAAAGTAGGACTATTACGAATCCCTTGAGGCAAGACCTTCCAGCAATATCTTTTAACAGGTTCTTTAAAATTAATTGCTGGGACAGTGAAAGCAAATTTTTCACAATCACCACGATGCAACCCTACTGAGTAAAAAACAATCTTTTAGATCTATTACCATTAAGGTATAGTTTAGAGCAATTGCTGTGGGGAAGGGAGTCTGGGCTGCAATGATCCCATAGGCTGAATTGCATGGGTTATTGCCCTTAAATCCTGTAGTAACCTCCAATTACCTGACTTTTTCTTAATAACAAAATGGGGGGGGGGTTGTTCCAAGACTAAGCATTGATTCTATATAACCAGCCTGAAATTGTACCTCAACTAACATATGAATTATCTTAAGTATTTCCCCTGATATGGGCCACTGAGAAATCCATGTAGGCTCTTCTGTGAGCCAGATGATCTTTTCTGCTGTCTTTTGTATCAGGGAGACACTCAGGGCCCCTAGTAAAAATTTTGGTTTGGAGTATTTACTAATCTCTGTCAAGGAGACTGGTTTATAAGCAGATACTCTCCTGGATAAGTTCCCTCATTATCTCCAGGAAGAAGCTCTTGATTAATTTACTAAAATGATCTCATAGAATGTGGACTTACCAATAATAATCCTATTTTGCTTAATATCTCTCTTCCCCATAGTTTTACTGGTAAGGACTCTAACACTTAAGGTTTAAAAACTCCACTGTTCCTATCAGGATCCTCCCAACGGAGATAATTTGCACTTTGAGGAGACTGTGAGATTTGTCCAATTCCCTCTTGGTTAGTTGGTGCTATTAGTAAGGGCGAATTTTAGGCCAGAAACGACTAGACAGAACAGATATGTCAGCTCCTGTGTCCACCACGCCTTTAAATTTTTTATGATTAATTTTAAGTTCCAGTAGGTGGCACTCCTGCCTCACTAATTGAGACTAGTACTCAGTGCCTGGTGGTTTGGAAACTCAATTTACTTGTGGGTGTGCATCCGAATTACAGGGTAATAAAATTAATTGAGCAAATGTATTTTTTGGAGTAAGACAAAGGGTGTAATTTGACTTTACAGTAACATTTAATTCTCCTTCAAAATAAGAATCTATTACTCCAGGTATTACCTCTTGGCCCCTTTTAAATTGTTACATCCCAAAATTTACCCTATACTTTCTCTGGGGAGTGGCCTGAAAATCCCAGTAGGGATTTGTTGTGGCCCTATGTCAGGATTTAATTCAATTGTCATTGAGGGTCATAAAGAAACTGTGTGTGAGATTCACTTTGGTAAAAATGTTGGCTCCTCATGTTCAGCGGTGTGACATTAAATTGCAAGACCTTCCTTCTAGTTCCCCTGCTTTTTCAGCGCCCCCCGCCCCCCCAAAAAATGGTAATGGGCCAACCGCAAGTTTTTTGTCTTCTTACCAGGCTGAAGTGACAGCTAGAAGGCGCACTGATCAGTGCCATCTTGGTCTGCCTCGTGGTCTTCCACCATGTAATATCTACTACCAACAGCAGAGGGAGCCCTGGGCTTTAAATTATGAGCATTACAGTTTTGCAAGTAATGACTGCTCCTTCCACAATGAAAGCACCTCCAGTGGTGACTGCATATCAATTCTTGGGGCGGCAGAGTTTGTTTTAAAGCTGTAGGGAGTGTAATTATTTGTAAATGGGCTGGATCAATATCAGAACACAAGCGAATAAATTCTGAATCTGTGCCCTTTTTTCTATGGGGTCTTACAACATCCTGACAATATTTATTTGCATTTTTAAATGCCAATTGCTTAATGATAAACTCACAAGCACCCGGATTGCCAATGGAACTGTTTGTAGTTTGGTAAATTCACACTACGAAATCAGAATAAAGCTCATTGGCACCTTGTTTAGCTTTAGTCAGAACTAAGCTCGGTTGGTCCCTGGAGGCAATCTGCCTCCAGGCATGCTTTGCACAGGCTGTAATCTGATCATACACCACAATTTCATAATTTAGTTGCCTTTCCAAATCAATAAATTCACCCATTCCTAAAAACATCTCCATGGGTGTTTGAAGATTTTGCCTCTGATTACTCTCTGCTTGCTCAGAACAGAAATCTGTCTAGAATGACCTCCAAAGTTGAAAATCCCCTCCACTCAAGCAAGCCCTGGAGATGGAAATCTAGTCACTCTGCGGGATTGCTTGAGAGCATATAGTCTCAAGCAAGCTCTGCAAGAATGGTGAATTTGGACCGTAGACCTTGCAGGCATTTTTTTACTCTTTAATAGTTTTAAAAAGAATTACTGTGTGGATGCAAACATGCTGGTCTTGGTCATTAATCTGCTCAAAAGCTGGGAAGAGCTGAAATTCGTTAGTATCTTCTTCAGCTTCTTGCGCTTTTCTAATTCCCCGCTGCAATGGAGTAATGAAAGTCATTGCTAGCTCAGAGCATCTGTTAAAATTTGTCCTTTTAACAGACAATGGCCATATTTGCATGGTCAGGCCATATTTGCATGGTCAGCATAGCTTGTTGAAATTCCCTGGTAAATCCTGCATTTCATTGTCAGATTCCTCTCCCTTAGTCTGCGATTCCTCCGTAGATTCTCCATTGTCGCCATGTTGAATTTGGGCTTGTAAGCCATGTGGAAGAGCTCTATGAATCTCTTCCAGATTTTCCTTTCTGAGAGAAGGACCATCTTTCCCCCGGAGGCTTCTTCTATGATCTCCCTCTCTATGGTTTTCCTCTAGATTACTCTGGCTTGGCTCAGGCAAGGCTAACTTTTTTACTTTCTGTTTTGCCCAGAGATTTTTGGTTTGAATATAATTTGTCTTAGTTTTTGTTTTTAGCCAGTTTAGAGGAAAGAAGATTTCCTGAGCCTCAGGCAATTTTTCCATTTGAATAGACTTAATGGCTCTCTGAATACCTTTCAATAGATCTTGGGGGGGGGGGGCACAGACTATGGCCCATATAATCAAAAAGACTGTTCTCTAATGCAGTTTACATCTTTTGTGTAATTTCAAAGTTTCCAGGTAATTCATTAGAAAGGCAAATTTTATGCAATTTCCTCCCGAATTTGTCCCAAGGATGCAAATTTGGTGAATCTGGGTCACAAAATCAAGGGCACAATTCACCTACAACCTTTAAGAATTGTAGCAACTGAGGTTTTTAACTTGTTTTCCCTTCTGATTAATTATTTTCTCTAAAATAGTCAAATACATGTCTTTATCAGTAGAAGTTGGATTCCATTATTAAGATTTTTAATGTCCCTTTGCTCCAAAAACTGTCTGGTACTTCTGTGACCCTAAAAATGTCATAAATTCTGTATTTCTATACTGTGCTCCCTAACTCAACCTAGTCAATTTACTTATGCCTCACTCCTAGGTGCTACTTCTGTCACATGACCAGCGCTGGCTTCATGAAAGAAGGTTTGATTCATAAGTAATGGCTAGGGAGTTTTCAATTAAAGAGACAAGAATCTCATTACCTTTAATAGCAGATCTGGGATTGCTTCTCATAGCTCCTGACTACAGCCACCTTATGAGGTGGCGAGGCTTGCAGAAGAGACTATCGAGAGAGAGAGAGAGAGAGAGAGAGAGAGAGAGAGAGAGAGAGAGAGAGAACACATCAAGGAGTAGACTTTTGTTGGGAAACAAAAACTTCTGGTGAAAATCCCATCAAATGAAGGTTAAGGGGGGGCAGCATCCCAAGGTCAGGGGCGACAATTGGATCTTCTGGGCAGTGGCCAGGCACGCCTCTGCTTGGACAAGCCCGCAGACCTGGAAAAGGGTGGGGAAGGCTCTAACACAGCTGTGTCTAAGTGCCTCTCACCCAGCCAGGGAGGTAACTCAAATCACGTGTGAGGATGGCTTCCCACAGATAGGTAAGAAAAATCTTCATAGTTGATCTCTAGGAAATAAGAAAGGCGGAAATGAAAAGGCAGTCACCAATCTAGTGTTCCCTGGATCCTACTGTGAAAGATGACTTCCATTCCAACCTGGAAACCCTCTAAATGATCTCTCATCCACACTTTATGATGCTGGTGAAAAGGACAGAAGATGTTAGAGAAAGGCTTGGAGGTGCCAATGCCTAGTTGCCATCTTTGAGTGAAAATATGAAAACCTTTTGGGCTTCACTAGCATCAGTGAAAACTATCAACAATATTTTTTAAATATTTTGCAAATTTTAATGTCAAAATTATTATTTTTTTAACCCCTTTCTTTTTTAATCACTTTGCTCCCATTGACTGCTTTTCCACGTTTGGAAACCAGCAATGAAACTTTGCATCCAGTGGTGCAATTAGTTCTCACGGAATATTGAAACATTGAATGTATATAGTTCAGAGGCAAATGAGAAAGTAATTGGGCCCTGATATTTTTAAGTCACTCAGTAGAGAGAGTCCAGTTCGGTCTGTAGATCTCCATCTCTGTCAAAGGCTGATGCATGGATTTCTCTTTCTTTGTCCCGCATCTACTTGGAGTATAATAATTCCTCCCCAGCAGGCTTCTCTATGCCAGTCCCCCCATATTCCTGTGTATCTGTGACAACATGGAGAGATCTTTCCTCAAATTTGAATTTTCCTTGCCATGCTTCTGGTTGAATTTTTCCTTTGAAGGGGTGGGCACTTCCAATTGTATCTGATATCTGAAATCCTGCCAGGAAATGGGGACATAACTAGTCTTACACTTTTCTTAAAAATTCTACAGACCTGTCCTTATTATTATCTTTCCTCCCT